TGATGAATTACATATATGACACCTTTTTAATAACTATGAGAATAAATACAAAATACAAAAATAAATGAATACAAAGTTTATGAAAAATTTAGTATCTAAAAAATAAACTGGCAGTTTTTACAAGCAATTTATAATTTGCCCTTTAGGTCTTATATCTGATACAAGAATACCTCTTCAAGCATGCCTTCTGTCTTCTCACTTCAGTAGAGATTAGTTGTTCGAAATTTTTGAAGTATTCTTCACTGGTGCACTTTATGACCCTTCCCTGCCCTTTCCTTCATTCTGCATAAATGTTGTGAGAGCAGCATGTCTGTCTAATGTGCTGAGGTACTGGAGGAAGTTCTAGCAATGTAGTGGGTCAAGATACTTAGCTTGAAAAAGACCCATTTCATTCATAGTATATATGTTTATTTTGTCTCTCCTAGTGAAAATAATTAGTATAATAAAACTTATTAAGGTTAAAGTTTCTTTCCTCTCTTAGAAAGAATGGGTTTATTTTTCCTGAAGAATTACATGTGGTTATGCAGCTGTAAATCAGTCTCAGATAGCAGACAAAAAGATCAAGTGCTTGATTTTACAGTATTTCTCTTGCTTGTGTCCCATAACTTTGTTGCCTCACCTGACTCAAGATTCACAGTCTCTGGTATGCTTCTTACTTCTGCTGTTAAACAAGTAGCAGAGCAAAGTAAGAGCCACCGCTTTAAAAGAATTAGGTCAAATTCATAACTCATGAATTGGTAAGTGACTAAAAAATGGACGTACTCTGTGGTATTTAGAGAAAGGAAACATTAGTATTCCCAGCAGTTCTGGGTGCTCCAATCCCTAAGAAAGCTAGGAAATGGTTTGATATGCAGATCATTAGTACTACAGTTGGAAAGCAGAGATAATTGTTAATGAGAAAAAGCAGTTCGCTTGAGTAGCACATTTCAGATAACTTGAGTGCTATAAAAGTACTGGTACAGAAAATTCAGATTTATTTGGGTCTGTCTTCTCTGAATCCTAAGTGTTTGGATAATAAATCAGGACAGAAGCATCCTAGCTGTCTCACAAAAATAACTGCTGTCATTTCAGATACATCAGCAATAAGTGTTTTGGCAACCATAGCCATCATAGTTTAGAACCAGCCAACAAATCAGTAACCTCATCTTAAATACAGATGAAATTGTACGGACCTGCAGTACTGTTCCTTTGCAAGATAAAGGAAGGGTAGATGAGAAGTTTACATTCCCATCCTTCTCTCTGCTTATAATCCAGGGTCTCTGGTTATCTATTGCTGTTTTATTCAGTGCAGCTGAGACTAGTTATCTCCCCTGTGATTTTTGAGGTCAGATCTTAAGTTGGATGTGTATTACAAATAATTCCCTCAGATATATTTTCAGATATAAGGAAAAACATATTGCCAAGGAAAAAAGTATCTGTTCCATTACAGCTGTTTGTAAATGAAACAGAGCACTAGTCAGATGTGCTGCCTTCCTAGTATTTTTTAAGAAGTATATAAACTATAGAGAAATTGCAGGAGAGTTTCAGTTATGGTTTTAAAGTTATTAGTGTTGCTGCTTTGCACAGTTCTTAAATGTAGTGTAGGTGCTTTCTTGGGAAAAGAGGAGCCATAATGCTTGAAAAAAAAACAGCTACTGGGTTAAACATCTTTCCTTGAGGTGGTAGGCGGAAAGTTAACTTCATAGAAAAACTCCTATGTCACCTGAGAAGACTTCACTCTATCCTCACTCATTTGGCTGTTCTTTTAAAAACAAAATTATACTGGTAGTTTTAGACAGGTTCTTTAAGCCAATGAAAGAAATATAGTCTGCATGTGCTTGGTGAGTTTGAAAAAGGTAAGTAAATTAAAACAGTGGCTCCACAAAGAGTATTTTATGTTCCTTCCTTTCTTCCTTGCCTTCCCACCCCAATCTAATTGCATACACAATTTTGTAAAAGATGTAGCAGCCTTAATGTAATGATGTCCAAATAGAACTGACATGTTCTGGTGGAGATGAAACTGGTACTTTGAACAGAAATATGTTTTCATCTGCAATCCCAGCCATAGGAGTGCAAATTACTGGGCTGTAATGGCATGCTGCCAGAACCATTTTTGGGAATAGTGACAGTAATTGCAAAATGCCTTTTCAAGCATCAGCAAAAGTTACCTGCACCTAATGATCAGTTTCCTCCTAAATTCAAAAGCAGGGGTAAGTAGAAGAGCCTTCTTGGAGAGAGTGGATTAATTAGCTGAGTGAATATTTATCAAAAATGAGAATACCATTGGTTCATGAGAACTATTGGGATTCCTGTGTGCATCAGGAATTGCAGCTTCCATTCACACATATGCTTTTTATCAGGCATACCACTGCCACTATCAGCAACATCATCTTTTTCACAAGGAGAGCTAGTAGAAGAAGGAAAGCTATTAATATGAAGTTTGGTGGGGGGGTTATAGGCCTAAAAGATACAAATCTAATTTCCCAGACTGTTGAAATCTGTTGTTTCTTTGACAAATGGAATACACTGACTAAGGATAAGCTATAATCAGCATGATCCAGTTCAACTTTTTCCTGCATACCCAAATGCCCATTTCTATAAAGGAGTCAGTCATAGAGATTGTTAAAAACTAAAGTTTCTATTTTAAGAAATTGTGCATAGAATCATAGAATGGATTGGGTGAGGACCTTAAAGATCATCTGCTTCCAACCTCCCTGCCACGGGCAGGGACTCCTTCCACCAGACCAGGTTGCTCAAAGCCCCGTCCAACCTGGCCTTGAACACTGCCAGGGAGGGGGCAGCCACAGCTTCTCTGGGCAACCTGTGCCAGTGCCTCACCACCCTCACAGTGAAGAATTTCTTCCATATCTAATTCTAAATCTACCCTCTTTCAGTTTAAAGACATTACACCTTGGACAGAGGCAATTCAAAAGGAAGTGTTTCTATTTGAAGTACCCCTAATTCTAGGAAATGATGGCAGTTGAGAACTAGGTCAATAAAGCACGTTCTTTGTTGTAAAATTCTGGTTCAGTTTGCTGCACTGGACATCTAAGTTCTTCCCTCTCAAAATATATATCAATATTGAAGACTGATCATAATAATTAACACTGGTCTGAAATTTTCATTATAATGCATATATTGCTCAGATGAGGTTTTTTTAAAGCTGTATGTTTTATGTGTGAGGAGTGTTCTTCATTTGATTATATAATAATCTAAGATGGCAGTCAGACCTTTCCTGTGTATAATACAGCATATGGCTTTCTGCATTTGTGAGATATCATACACTGAACTAGATACATGCAGGCATTGCTACAGACTAGGTATTCCATAAGGAGACATCCTATAGGCAAGGAAGTGATGCTTTTTTGAGGATGAAGCCCTTCACCAGCCTGTAGGAAACATCCATCATTCACTGATGTTCCTTTTCTTATATCCATGCAATTAATGGGTTTTGGGAGGAATGGTTAGCTATACCTTGTGTTTGTAGGTTGTCATGATCAGCTGAAGAGGTGAGAGAGTACCTGGTGTATTGAAGGTCAGAGTAACATAAGGGCATTACATTTTTATACCACATTCTGGGGCAGAATGTTCAGATTAGTGTAACACCACTATCACTGTTTTCAGTAAAGAAAATAGCATGAACTGGTATGAAGTGCTATTGTCAGTAGATCAATTCCCAGCCTCTAATCTACTACTATTTGTATCTTCTGGCAGTCAGTCCTGAATGTGTCTAGAAAATCAAAATGGAGTGCCTCAACACATGTGTTCCTGAATGATGAGTAGGAAATCAGGGAGTCAATCCTTTTAGCATTTGTAGTACAGAAGACTCCAAAGACTGACCTCTTTGTATGATACACAAAGAAGTGACAGTTACATTCCTCTGGGTATGCAGAAGCTCAGTTTTAGCATTCCTTTTAACAACTTCTGTGCCTTACTGTCAGGGAGACTCCTATGTGTCTCAATACCTGTTCCTCTGATTTCATAAGCCTTGTGCCATGTTCAAGAAGAAGGAATGAATTTGACCAAAGGTCAAATTTAAAGAAATAAGTATTTCCACACAAGTGATTGAATGGAAATTAATCAAAGGCAGTCTAAGAAAATGGAGTTTTAGAAAAGTGTATACTATTAAGAAGTATTCTATTTATGTGCTGCTTTTATGTCAGGCCAGTCAGGTGTACGTTGTTCATTGTTTATGAGTAACAGTTATAATTTAATTAAGATCGTCTGTAATGAAGGTCTTTTCAAATAGATACTTTGTGAATTTACTTCTAATTTTGATTTGATGGTTATGTTGATGATCTATAGCTCCAAGTGGCACAGGATTTCTAAGACGTAAGGATTCTTTTGCCATGTTTCTTTTTCCAGAGTCACGTCATCTTTGTTGAAAGTTAATTAATATGTTGCCTGGAAATCTCTGTTGGCCAAGTGCCACCCAGAGGTTTTTTACTGTATTTTCTGCTGAGTTTTCATCATCTTTATTCTGATGTTCCATGACAAAGTAGGGCTCTAAAAGAAGGGCTCCAAATCACTCTGTGAGTGGATACAGAGAGGTAGTGTGCATACAGCATGGCCCTGGGAATTGCAAAGCCCGTGTTCTGCTTGAGTTATCATCGGCTTCTGTGTGCCTGTACTGTACTGTTACAGCGACATCACCTGTTCCCTGTTTATTCTTGTTCACTAATCCAAGTGTCCGTGCCGCAATGTATGTTCCTTATCCGGGAACAATACTAAATAAGGACCGAGTCCTCTGTATTTATCTTGTGAGAATATTGTTAAATTTTCTTTAAAACCTTTAGAAAATAAGTAAAATGCTTTCATAAGTCTGTGGGAGAAAAGGAAATTACATAATTGTGCAGTATTCTGAACAGAACTTAACTGATCCTGATTCTCCACTTCAGAGTTCTCCTGTATGAAGTGTGTTCTTTTAGGTCCACATGATTTATGTAAAGGTAACATTAAGTTTTAAGAGATGTCTGATGCTGTAGAAAAGTAATGGGCTGTTTCTCTCCTCTTTTGGGCAGTTTTGGTATGAATCACGATGGAATTGGAAATTCCTGTGGGACCAAAGGTCATGAAGCAGCAAAGCTAATGGCAGCTCATATTACAGCAAACACCAACCCTTTCTCTTGGTCAGCCTGCAGTCGGGATTACATCACCAGTTTTTTGGAGTAAGTAACGTCTAAAGAAAAAAAAAAGTTTTCAAAACATTGACACCTTTCAGGATAAATAGTACAGATACAGCAACCTGTTCTGATGATTTACATTTTTGGAATGAACAGACAGTAATACAGCAAGTCACTTAGGATTTTTATTTTGTAGACCACTTTGTCTGTGTAGTGGCAAAAGCTTCTTCTACTCCATTCCCCACATTACAGTTCTCATTTTTAATCTGTTCAAAACATTTTGAAGTGCTGATCATGTCTCATTAGTTCATTAATCTGAGAGTGAGAAATAGAGAAGGGTGGAATTTGTCTGTGAATGATAAGTATTTTTTTTTAAATATGTGTGTAACATGAGAGTCCAATGAAGGGAACAAGGCTGTAGCTTTGTACATTTCATTCCCCAGATTTTTTTCATGCAGTCTTGTGGGTTTTTATCTATCAATATTCTTTGGTACCATTGGTGAGAATATAAAGATTACAGGAGAGGACGACATAGGTCTTTATATTAATATCTTAAAAATGTGCTAACCTATGCTCCTATGGTGATTCTTATTTGTAAGTAAATTGCTACCTGAAATCTCACTTCTGTAAGAAAAAATTTAGTCTCACAAATGTCTTCATATCAATGCATACGTTCATATATATGATGCGTAATGGAGCTTTTGTTTGTGTTTTGAATTGTGGAAGTCAAACACAGAATGTTGAATTCACTGAGAACAGGTTAGTAACAGGATTTTTTTTGAAGTGGCGTAAGATTGTCTTTGTGGGAGCAAATTGCAGTTGGTTAGTAGGTTCAGTGTCATCAGTGCAATTGTTCCTTTAAGAAATAAAGGTTCTTCAACCACGAGATACTAAGAACAAAAGGAGCTTTGCATCATCTTTCAGAGATCTAACCTCAGAATAAGGTGCTCTGTCCTGAATCTTGCCTCAAAGGACCCATCCAGACCGACACTTTTTCTTTAGGTTGGTTCAAATGTAGCTTCCACATAATGTAGAGGATCACTGAGTTGGTCTGAAGAGGTGTTTGAGCTCCCTATAGAGTCAGGGGGCAGAGACAGACATTTAGTGCTGTTCAGAGTAAAAGAACTCTTCAGTTACTGTATCAGGTTAAGGCATTTTGTATCACCCTGCTGGACTGTGCACCCACCCCATTTTATGTACTGGGGCATTTAAGATGAGCATCTAAACTAAAGCACACTGATTAAGTCGTCCTTATGTATATGTGTGATACAGGTTTCTCATACTATAAATTGATTTTCTCAGGAGAGATATATATGTATTCATTTAATGCTGCCATTCTAACAAAAACATATAAAGGGTAGTTTTGTTTTATCATTATCAATCTTTTCTGTTAATTCAAAACTGTTCCTGTTAGTAGTGTTTCTAGTATGTCATGCAGCCTAGTTTTAACTATGACAAAGAATAAAGTTTTCACATCTCTTCTGAGGGATTATTTCACAGCGTAGTACTTCTGACTGTAAACTTACAGTTTAGGATTTTTCTTGTAGCATTTGGCAGTTTGTTCCTTACTGTGACAGTTCTCTGTCTCATCTAATTGTATGTGTTGCTCTCCTCTGAACTCATTTGGATCCCATAATTGTCCTGATAATAAGTTGTCTATTGATGAAGACATAATTCCACAGATAGCTGATTTCTTATTTATGGGTTTAGAGAAAGAAAAATGGTAAAATTCTGTGGCTCGTGTTATGCTCCAGATGTAATAACAGAAGTAAACATTTGTTCATAATTTTCCCACACGGTTTTAAATTTCAGCCTGAACAAATTTTCGTCTTTACTTGATGTGTATGCAGTAATTTTTCAAATTTTTACTGCACATTAAAAACATGTTTAGCTTGTGCCTTTCTACGTTAAGGGTTTTATTTATTTATTTATCTATTTATTTACTAGTGTTGACATCTCCATTATTCTTTTCCATTCCCTAGGTTTGATTCACTGTTAAGTTTCATTTTTAAGTTTGTAGGATGCCAGTGAAATTGTAGTTATATTAGCATAAAGCCAGAATAGTACTCTGGTGAATCTGTTCCCATAGTTCTAATCTCTTCAGGTTTTTTGAGTGCCTGTCTATCATTGCCAGTGTTTGCAACTCTAATCAAATTACTGCACTCTGTGAATTTCATTAAAAAAAAAAAATCACTACTGAAGATACTGATACTTGACCTAGAGTAAAAAAAAAAATCTACATATAGCAGCTTCAATAATAAATTATCCTTTATAATATTTTAGCTGTATTTTTTGTAACCTGGAATGTAGATGTTATTTTTTTCAAAGCCACTTTGGATAAACATTATTTTATGCATTGCAATTATGAATAGATTTTCCAATCGTATAGGATACTGTGTTAAATAACGTACTAAGAGCCAAAGATAACTTCTCCTTCCTCCACTAATTTTGCAATCTGTTCTTAAAAATGTCAGATTTCTTAAACATGATTTGTTCATTACAAATCTATGCTTATTGTTTGAGGTTCTAATAACCTATAAATGAATTGGTACTTTTTTCTTAAAATAGTTGGTTTATTATTTCATAAAGTAGAATAGTCTGTAAAACTAGAGTTTTTTTCTCCAGTTTCTAGTTTTCTCCCCAGCGTTTCATGTCATCTCTTCAATGACAGCAGGAGGCTGTTGAGATAGAGTTACACAGGTACCTGCAAGACAGCTGTTAGAAGCCTAGATCACTTCTTTTTACCCATTCACACCTTTCCTTAAGGCAGAGCAGCTTTAAAAGCAGGTAGTTTTCTGTTGCAGGTAATGATCAGTGAGCAAGAAAAATAGTTAGTTTCATGTGGTAGCAATTTCCTGACTGATCCTGTAAGAGCAGAACAGTCTGCATCCAGACAGGAAAAATAATTCTGTTTTTTTCTAATACCTCTTCATAACTTAGCCACAGATGAGGAAAATGTTGATTTAGAGCTTTAGAGGCAAAGCCTCAAGATGCTGTCATCTGTGTCTCCAGAGAGATTAGACTCTGCCCCCTTTCTTTCCATTTATCCTCAAGAATGGGAAAACATCTGGGACAGGACCCAGTAGACTACAAACAAGGAAGACAAGTGGTTTTTTCTGTGCTGAAAGAGTATAACTAGTTTAGGATTCATTTAGCTATGTCTAAAATGAAAGAGAACATGATGGGATGAAATGAAGGTACTCAAGCAGAAACCTGAGGCTGTGAGTTTCTATGACATACTACAACGCTTTTTAGGTTTATTGGCTTGGATCTGTATACAAGGTTGGGCAGGGCTGTCGTGGCACCAAGATAATGCAGCTGAAATGAATTTCGCTAGAATCTCATTACGTGTTCACAGTATTACATGGTAAGGTAGACTAATGTGGATTTACTAGTTTAGCAGCTTGGGTCACCACCTGCTACAGCAGTTTTGCACTGTGTGCCATTTTGCGGTGTAGATACCACATTGTCCTTTCTCATCAGGCAGAAGCATTTTGAAACAGCTGGTGGCACTCAAAGTGGAGCCTCACCTCATCCTTCTCTTCCTCAAGACTTCCTTAAAACTACACCCAGAAACAAATTTTCCAGACTGAGGCTACTGAGGAATAGTCATTAAGCATCACTTGGAAGGTATCAGTTCAGTCAGGCACTAGTTAGGAAAGCAATTTATTTTGCAGGATGGCTGGATAGAGGGTGAATATGGCTCAAAGGATGACATATGGTTAAACAAAGCTATGTATTGCTAATAAGTCTATCAAAACTCTCAAGAAGGATGGCCAGCCAGCACAGGCTCTGAAATGGCCAAAGAAAATATGTTGGTTTTTTTCTGGGAAAAAAGTTCCTTCTAACACATAATAGCTGCTGTCTGTCATGCTTTATGTTAGAGGGAAAGATTACTGAATTCAGTTTATCAGATGAATTGTTCGTAAGTGCTTTACAATGGCATTACATTTCACTAACCTTTTATGGAATTAAATGCAGAAATACTGAGAATCGAAGGGTTGGGAGAGTAGTGTCAGAGAATAGAGATTCCTATGAGAGGAGTAGAAACTCTTAGTGTCTGTTTATAGAAGAAATGAACCAAGCCTAAAAATACTGTTTGTGACTGAAAACCAGTTAGTATAAATTTCATTCTATGCAGCATGTGTATGTGTATATATAATATATATGTGTATGTGTATATATAATATATATGTGTATGTGTATATATAATATATATGTGTATGTGTATAGAGATATATATATGTATATATAAAAACCCCCGTATATGTAACATGCAGGTTTCATTATATCCAGCATGTTGTTATACAGTGTGCCTATAGATGCAGATACTTAGTTGTAGAGAGGGGAACTTTCTGCTTAGGATTCTCTATTCTGTTACTTTTATGTTTTGTAATAACAAAATCTGGGTGATTTCTGGAATCATACCTCGTTAATCTTGGCAGTATCGGGTGGGAGAAGGTGTTAGAAGAAGCCAGGTGTCCAACTCTGTCTTTCAAGAGCAGGATCATCTTTTGAAGATGAATGGAGAAGTACCAAGAGTCTTTACACTATTTGAATAAATAAGATCTATCACAGGAAATTCTTGGAGAGTCTCTACGTTTGCCATACAGCAGGATTTAGATCTGAGACTACACCTTTCTAACTCTGGAAGGGAGCCAATACTGCCTTGATCCAAGCAAGCCATGTAGATAGTATAAAAAAAATCATCCGATGTTTGGTCCCAGATATCATCTGCTCAAGAATCTTGGACATAAAAGTGGATATGCAAGATAAATATAGGATACGTCTATATATGCCTCATATGCTATCAATGACAGATTGTCCAGTCTCCTGGTACTCCAGAAATCTAAATTAACTTTTAAAAAAAGTACAAGCCAAGACTAGGTCCCCTCAGTCATACAAAAATTTTCGATGTCTCTCTGCAAATTAATGGAGAAAATTTACATTCAATATTATCTTTTGACCTACAGTTTGGATTATAATTTGCTTGTTTTTTTCTTTAAAGTTTACTAGGATTTTTTTAGCTAACAGATAATTGAATGAAAAATGTGTGTCCCCAATTACCATAGATTTTTGAAACGTTGAAAGCCTTCTGTTTTGCTTAAAAGGCTACCCAGTTAAAAAAAAACAACAACACAACTCAACAGATTCTGTAATTATGGTCTGGCAATATGATTTTGAGTGTTGAATTTGCATGTGTTACTCTTTGCCTCTTGGGTTATATAAATTTAAAGAAATTGTAAAGATCAGAATCATTAGCAAATTCCCATTAACTTATTTGTAGAATGTTTGATGAAACAAATATGGAACAAGAAATTGTCCCAATGTTTTATAGCTTGATGTCTCTCAGACTCTGAAGGCCAGATACCAGTAGGTTTTGGTAGGTGGATGGTTTTGATAGATGGACCGATAGATTTTTCCTGATATGGCTGCTGGATAATTATTCAAACTAACAGAAGATTGCTTTGAAACAGAGACCATATTGTGGAGGAAAGTATACATTAAAGAAATAGCAAATTACCTACTACCAAATGAAAGAAAAATTTATTATTATGAAAAGATTGTGCAAAATTAGAGTCTTTGCTATGGGATAGATAATAAGACATAGCACTATTGATGTATAAAAGATTGGAAAGAAGTAGAATTTATTATGAGTGGTAAATCCACATCAATATCTGAATTTTCCTAACATTCAAGAATGTTTTTGTTTAGTAATCCTATTCTGGTTCATTTTAATTTTAAACATACCACTCTAAATCACACTTCGATTACTTATGCCCTGATTCTGCAAATATTTATGTTATTATCTATATGCTATTGAGCAATCTGCAGAGTTTCATTCATTTATTAATGTCAAGTTAAGCAGCTTTTGTAGCCTGTACAGAAGTAGATTCTGGTCCTTTCTAAAAATCTTGACTTTCACTGAGGAAAAATACATAATAAATGTGAAGTAAGGATTCTGTTAGGAGCCAAGTGTTATATATAGGCGTGTAAATAATTCATGGGTTTTATGTATGTATATGTATACAATAAACTGTGTTTATAGTTAATAAAACTTACTATTGTGTTTTTCCATATGGGTATGGAAATTTTTTATGGGTAATTTGGTAACAGATTTAAATAAAACATTATGTATACTATCCATATATTTATGCATACAATTGTTTAGCTATAAGAGATAATTACAAATGTTTATAATACATTTAATTTGTGATTGTTAATCATAGGTTGTATTATAGTCCCTGTTAAGAATGAGCCAATTTTGTAACATTGAGAACCTATTTTCAGTGCAAGTGTTCTGGAATACTTTTTGTGAACCATTGAAGGAGTTGCGTTGTGCTGTATATGTTGCTGAGATATTTGGGAATAGATTCTGTAATAGGAGCATAAACCCTGAAAGGTCTGCATCCATGGTTTTTGCTTTTTCTCTTTATTGGCCTTCGGCACAACAGTGATGTCTGTTACAGAGGTGATGATTCTCAGTTTTGCATTGTTCAGTCTCTAAAGATTCTAACATTGAATCCCTGGTTGCTGTTATTTTGATCAAGCAGTTAGCAGTGATACCATATCTGAGATCTTAAGCTTTCAGAGAATGCTCTAGTATCCTTGAGGTCCTTTCAAACAGAAGAGTAACTTGCTATCCTGCGATGTTAAAATACAAAACAACGTTTAAATTATATTGTACAGTGTTCTACAAAGATGTCTTGAGACACTGCACTGGAATACCGGGATGAAATGACATTTAAGTTTAGCTATTTTATAATTGAAACCAGTTGCAATATGTCCCATAAAACCTCATGAAATTAACCTAAAATTAGGAAAATGAGGGAGTCTTTGCGTACTGGTAGTGTCTTGTGGAGTAAATAGAATGTCAGGATGAGTTTGAGATCATCTTATTTCTATTGCAGACATTAAAGATTTATCTACTCCCTGTTCGAAAATGTAAATGCTCTGCAGGGACATCCTGTAGGTTTTTTGACTTTGTATATGCTTCCTATATAAAATCAGAAGGCACAAAAGTGATTGTAAGTAGAAATTTTCTAAATTTGCAGAGATTAATTTATTTGGGCATTTTTTTCCTTCTTTTTTACATCTGCACAAAGGGCTTTTTCTCAGCTTTGTAGGCCTGATTAAAAACAGAGATCTAATAGTTATTATTAAAGTACTCCAATACCATTATTCTTCTTGTACCGTTTTGGTTCATTCCTGTAGATTTAGCAGATTTTTTTTCTCAAGTATCTGGGTTTTGCTTTAGTGGAGCAAAGAGAAAGGGAGAAGAATGAGGATGTGGACTGAGGAATATTACACCATTCCCTGAATCCAGTAGAAGTTGTCTGGAAAGGTTATATGGTCTTCAGCCTGTATTCACCCTTCACACAGCTTTGGTGAGACATTTCATTACTAATGGAAAGTCCCTGGTTTTATTAATGTGTTTTATAACACATGCTATTTCTTTTCCCAAAATACTTCAATTCACACAATACAGTATCAGGTTCTCACACCAAGTTTGTAAAAGGTGTCAATTTTGTTCAACCACTTGAGAGAAATAATAGAACTGAAGCAGAAGGAAAGAGAGAAACAAATTTTCAGTCTGAGAGGTGGTGATGTAATGTAGCTAGTAAGTGAATGACTGCTTAGTAGTAATTTTCGTGCTTTTTTACTCTACAACAATATTTCATTATGGAGAAAATCTTGTCATTAGAGCGGAAGAAGCATATTTTTGTATTTACTACAAGGATTTTGACTTATATTTCCACAGTTAGATGTCTTGTAGAGTAGGTATAGAGTTCAATTTACAAGTTTGGTGATTTTAAAGATTTAGCTGTGATTCTGTAATGTAATCTGTGCAGGGGTAGTATGCCTATGGAGAGTCACCAAAAATAATGAGGGTTTTTAAATGCTGTGCCCTTGGCTGTCTGTTTACAGGATCACAGTTTACAGACCAGACTGCACTATTGAAATCTATGGAAATATTCCTATCATGTAGAATCATAGAATCATTTTGGTTGGAAAAGACCTTTAAGATCATCAGATTCAACCATTATCCTAACACTACCAAGCCCACCACTAAACCATGTCCTTAAGTGCCATATCTACATGTCTATATATGCAACACTAGCTCAAGCTGATGTCAAATGCTAAACTTCCCACTGCTTGTTTGAGCAAAGTTCCTGTCTGCAGTTTGGTCCTGACAGTGGAGAAGAATCAGATTGTATTTGAGTTATTTTCATATTAGAATTATTAACATGTACTCCTCATACATGCAAAATATAACACTGAAATATTTCAAAAGAATGTAGGATAGTTTTCCAACTTTGACTATTAGAAAATGTAAAAGCTTGCAATAATTAAAACTGGAACAAAGGGGCAAATAAGTTATTTTTTGGGCCAGAATCACACAGATTTCAGCTGAGGGGATGTGTGTGTGCGTGTGTGTGCATGCAGGTGAATCACAGTAAGTTCATTGGGATTAGTAACTGAATATCATATTTTTTTCTGTGTTTATCTTGTTATTTCCTTAGTTGCTGTTTGTTTTCTTTTGAAGTGGTTGGCAGTTGTTTGTTTCTTTGTTTTTCCAAAGGGTTTATTGTAGTATTTCAAAGAGTTGAACAAAATAGGGTTAAAACAAGAACATGAAATGTGTGTTAAAGGAGGCTTTTTGCTCTTTTGTTTTGTTTTGTTTTGTCTGCAGATGAAAACTATAGAAAATCGGACATCTCAAAAAAACCAGTGTAGAACATTCTACACATGATTTCTAAAATTATGTTCCTTTGGCAAAGTGCATGGAAAAGATTTGGGAAAAAAAAAAAGTGCTGGCAAAATTTGTAGGAATGTTGGAAAAAAATTTAAAGTGTTGGCATAAGAATTCTTTAAAAATCCTCACTTATTCACATGTGAAATGAGAGTGAAAAAGCATCTGTCCTCTTTTATGCATACTGACTAAATAAAATAATTATGTTTAGCAAAGTACAATGTTTTCTAAACAGAACTCTGTATTTGGCTTGCTTTGTTATTTATTCCACTACACTAAAATAGTGTATTTGAATGTGGGCATATTTTGGAAAAAAACCCCACAAACTAACAAACAAAACAGTGAATGTAAAAGAAGAAAATACTAGTTTTCAAAGATGATGTTCTAACATGCATTTTTAAAGACTCAATATTACTAATAGAATATAAAAGATCTTGAATCCATACAAATTTTTATACTCACCCTAGTATAGGTAAATTTGAAGATCCTTCAGAATTTTTACCACTGTAACTATTTTGTTCAGTCAAATGGGAGAAAAGCATGCATAATAAGGTCCTAATCCTATAAACGTTGTTATACTGAAATTTGAATGTGTTTTATATAAACCAATGGAGCTGCTCATATCTATAAGATTGTACTTAGCTGTTTGAAGGATCAGAAGGGTCATTAAGAATGGTAAACTGAATTTCTTCTGTTTGCTTAATTTGTTTATTTTTCATTCTACAACCAAATGTAGCTATTCTTCAGTGAAAACAAATAGGAATCTTAAAACCAAAATGAAAATCAGTCTTGTGTGGCTCAGAAATCATCACACTTTAAAAAAGGATAATATATGAAATCTATTTCACAATCTAAAATAAGCATTTTTGTTAATAATAATGATGAAAAATTATATTAATATCTTAATTCCCTCTAATTATTTTTTCTTTTTACTATGGGTGTACCATCTTGCTGTTTGTTTATTGCAATCATATTTGTTTCACACCCAGTGCTGTTAAAAGTAAGAACTAGATACATGATATCATTACTGTGATTTACAGTCAGTAGAATTCCTAATTGATTTGGTCCTTTATGTTGAACAGTTCGGGCCGTGGTACTTGCCTTGATAATGAGCCTCCCAAGCGTGACTTTCTTTATCCAGCTGTGGCCCCAGGTCAGGTGTATGATGCTGATGAACAGTGTCGCTTCCAGTATGGAGCAACATCCCGCCAATGTAAATATGGGGTAAGAAGTCTTAATCCTTATGCTGAGTGTTCTGCTTAGTCATTTGTGTATTTTTTTTATAACATAAATCTTTAGTTAGATGCAGTAGTAGGTTACAGATTTCCAATAGCATGTCTGGTGCCATCATACATAAGCAAAGGGTATATTTTAATCCTTATGCTGCATCTTTTGCTTGAGTCATTTGTGTGTACTGTACACCAAAATGTGTGGGTAACAATGAGCTGAGGAAAGCATTCTTTAACTTCAGGAAAAAAAGGAGCCCAGAACACTTGATCCTGTTCCTTGAAAAGTGTACTACAGAGTTTTCTTTGATATCAGTTAAATGAGATCAGGTTCATGTTGTATTAATTTTGAAACATGAGACCTGTTGTTCTGGCTTTAATGTCTCAATTTAAAGCTACATTTTGATACTACTTTTGTACTTGTATTGATTTGTCAGGTCTGTTTTTATTTTCTTTTTTTTTTTTTTCCTGACATCGAATTGATTGTTACTCATGTTGTTCAGATCTTTTTTGGGAAAGGTGAATTATGGTTATGGGAACAGAGGAACATGAAGCTAGATTGCTGAACGGAATACTGAATAACTAAGTACTAGCAAAGCTTGGGCTGCAAGTCGGTGTGCAACAATGAGGGTAAATAAATCTACAGTAGAAATAAAAACCTGCACACTGAGACCATTATGCAATAAATTTTATAAATACTTACTTAAAATCTTGTAGCCCAGAGTATGTAGTAAAAGGATGCGTTCTGCTGTGCTTGTTTTCAAATAGTCACCTGAGACTAAATTAAATAAACCTGGAAAATATATAGTCTTTTAGAAGTAAATAGTTTTAATAATATTTTAATTTTTAGTTTATTCAAATAAAACAATGTAATCATTGAATTTATAATCTATTTACTTCTCTGAAGTCTAGCTACAAAGTAAGTCCATTTTTAATATCCCTGGGGTGATAAATACAATATTATTTTTGGGATGCCTCTTTGGCAGATTGCGTTGTGAAAAGGATTTAAAAGCTGTGTGTAGCTAGCTGACTAGCTTACTGGGTCTTCTAATCCTGATCCCTCATCATACCTCTTTTGGCCTTTATTGTTCCTCTTGAAGTTCTTACTCCCAGTGCTGTTCTTTAAGGGCCCTGTTTCCTGTCACTACATCTACGTCATAGCTTTTTCTTTTTTTTTTTTTTTTTTTCTTACAAATTCTTACCACGTGCACTGTTCTTTTTTCAGACTAAGGAATTCTGCAGGTATTTAATCCATGATTTATAGCCAGCCTTTGGAGATATACTGCATTTTAAATTAAACTGGAAAGTTAGTAATGTGCAAAACCTGGCTGTTCCACATGTATGTTATTTTTTTCAAACACTGTTAAACTGTGTAATCATTGTTGTGATGATCACGCTGCACAGTACGGTTTCGTTCTTAAACCAGTTTCTAAACCACAAACAATTGGAAGTAATGAAGATGTGTTGGTAATCTTGGCTTTCTGCATTCTGCTTTCTTTTTGGTTTAAAGTTTTTGTTGGGATTCCCTTGTAGTTACAAAAAAAGAGGTCAACACTTAATTGAGGAAATAATTAAAAGAAGTTATGTCTTCATGTGACCGGTCCTCTGAATTGATACAGTGTATCATGTTCTGTCAGTGTGCCATCAATGTGAGCATAACTTACAAGTCTCATAAAAAACCACGTATTTTTAGTAACAGGATTCAGAATGCATATATTAATATAACAAGTTATTGTAGAAGTCTGGTAATACCCACTCTAAGAAATTATATGCGTTTAAAATAGCATCTGCATTAAAAAATATTGTCCACCATGGCTATAATCTCTGAAAATACAGTCATGATGATTATGATCATACAGACTTAAAGTGATAATTTTAAAGGGGGGAAAAAAGAAAAGTCTTTGTAAGCTGGTAGTGCAGATGGAAAATATCCACACAAGAAGGAGGTATTCGTGTATGAAAAGGTTTTTAGAACTGAGAAGTGGAACTAGATCTAAATAGCAGGAAAAACTTCAGTTGAATACTCTGCTCAACTCTTTCATTATCAAAAGTAAACAGTCAGTGCTTTCGATACTCCTATTTGGTGTACTGTTCACGTGAAGGTGCCATTAGTTGTTCATTGATCTTATTCTAACAGACACATGTGCAACTATGGATTGAAAAACATAGTAAAAATCCCTAGTTAACAGTGGATGTAGTTCATATACTAATTTCTTTCTTTTTGCCATTTTTATTTAAAGTGGTTGGTAAAAAAGGGGTAGGTCAGGATTTCCAACATGGGGTTTATTGACCCAGAAGGAACTAAGTTCTAAACCAAAAGGAAATCTTGGAGAAAATTGCTTGCCTGTTTCTCGTGTTCTTTACTGATTTTGTGATGGTGAGACATGACAAGAGGAACAGTTGAACTCTCAAATAAAAGGCCAAAAAATTACAAGTCTCATTTGGGCTCTGGTTAGCTGAGATAGCTGGTGTTTTTAAAGTAACTTGGAAAATCTTCATGTTTCTTCTGCTTTGGAATTCTGTCCTAATGTCTTACTAACCTTTAGAAAAATTACCTCTTTCAACCATCTAGGTTTAATATTAATCTGTGTTCATTACCTTTTCTCCTGTATTTCCTCATCTGTTCCCTCTGTATGTTTATTTTAAACTGTTGCTTTTGATCATAGAACATGTTCTAACCCCGCAAAGAGTTTTGCACATTTAAGTACCTGAAGCCTTTCTCACTTAGGAACTTAAAGTTAAATACATGGAGAGGTGTTTGAACAATTAAGGCATCAGAACTAAAGTACTGAAGGGGTTGCAAGTTTCTGCCTTTCTGTGTGTGTGTTTACTGACAAGGAGCCAATCTGACCTTAAAAGGAGCTCTTTGGTAGTTGTTTTGATACTATTTTAAGTACTAGACCTAATTAAACTTTAGTCACTTACAGACAGAACTGTTCTAGCAAAAGCGTCGTGGCTGTTGGTTAGATTTCCGTGTATTTTTCAGCAAATTGTTGGACAAGAATTCAAAGAGATGTTTTAGATCTTTGAGCTGAAAAAATAAAACTACACGTGATCCTTCTAATGTTACATGTGCATTGTTCTTTATACTATCCACCATTTCTGATAAATGGGCAATTTTAGAGAATTTAAGTGAAGAAATAGATACTTTGAATAAAGAAGTGAGAGGCAATGTCTCAAGGTACTTAAAATGCTTCAGTTTTAGGGTACTATTTCAGATTTAGGAGAATGTTAAATTTATGACTTACAGTGAGTCAAATTGTAATGGTGGAAATTTCACCATATTATACTGACATATAGCTTTTTCCTAAATGCAACACATACGTTCAGGTATCTTACTGGATTCACTGCAGCGGGATATTTTGAGGTTATTAGGAACAGTGCTAGTTCCTGATCATTTATGTAGCTGCTGGATATGCTACATCTTGAAGGGAGATGTTAGTGTGAATTCTCTTCTGCTGATTGTCAAGTGTGTCTCAGTTCTTTACTCTGTTTTTATGCCAGTTCCCCTGATAGTTCAGAACCTTTTAAAATGCTTTTGTTTTGGTGAGTGTAAGGAGAACTTTCTTCATTGACCCGTTATGTCCTTAACCTTTGAGCATCTGTCTAGTAACAGTGGGCTGTTGGCTGTCCCTTGGTTAACTCAGGAAAGAATTACAGTCTTTGACTTTGAATTTCTCTGTTTTATGGGTTTAAATAATACCTGGAATACGCCTGACTGTAACTTACAGATTTCGTGGTTCAAAATAATGATTTGCTTCAGAGCTGGTCCCCACATTTTTAGGACAGAGGCTAAAACCTCAGACATTTTAATAGCAGTTAATATTTTATGCATATGGTTGATATTGCTGTGGTGCATTTTATGTTCTGTGAAACTGTTGGCTGCTAGCATGGGTTTCAGAGATGGTGCTTTGCAATTCTTTGGTATACCTTTTTGCATTTTATTCTTTTCCAACTTCATTGGTGTCAGTAAATACTTTGAGGAGGGGGAAAAGGGGACAAACTCTCCTTTCCTTTGCATACATGGCTTCACTGAAATCAGCAGGACTGCTCTTGGTATTTCACACTAGAGTTTAACTCATCAAGCAATGTATTTTAGCTGATGACAGTAGCTCTCTTCTTTGTCATGGTCTTATGTTTGCAATTAAGTTCTCCAGTTAGTTTGCCAATGAAAATAGCTTTAAACTGAAATACTAGTTTTTATTCACACTTTGTTAGAGCGTTTTGGAGGACAGACAGAGTTCAAGCTGTGAACTTAACTGCTTGTAAGCAGGCAGAAGGAAGATATACTTTCAGCATCAGGAGTGTTCCTACTGCCTTCAATAGGTCCCTCACATTAGTAGTCTCTAGGGAGTTTTCAATGAGTTATGGGGAGTGGCCGTAAAGTTAATTACCATTAGTTAATTACCATTTCATAACATCTTCCTGGTTAAGTGCAAAACCTCTCATCGCTATTGTGCAGACCTTTTGCATTTAGAATGATTAAAGTTTTGTGTAAGGAATTGCAGGATCATCTTGTAACTAAGAACATTTGAAACACTTTCAGCTTATTCTTAAAGTGAATTTTGTTCCCTCTCTTTTTTAAGATTAAGATGTGTATAGCCAAGGGAAATCTGAGAAGTTTTCCTCTTTCTGAATCGTAAGGTAGTTTTACATCCTTTTAGTATCTTTTTCTAACAAGTTCCTGTAGTCTGCTTTCTTCTTTCCTAGGACTGTCTCCAAACCCCCTTTCTCTTTCTCTCTCTCTTTTTCTCTTTCTTTCTCTCTTTTTCAGAAGAGACACAGACATAACACCAATATGCCTGGATCTGTTTAAAAAGTGCAAGGGAAAAGCAGGAGTAGTGCATTAGATGACAGTAGAAGCAATAAAGAGATTCCGGATACTGGAATGTGGTTTGAATAAAGATGGGATAGATTGCATGGGTTTGAAAGGGAAGATGCTACTTGGAGGTGATTGACCTTGTGGGGCTTCTGTAGTTTCCATAAGGTTCACATAAGCACCCAATATTTAGGAAAGTATGCTAGAACATAATACAAATGTGCAATTTAAACTTTGGATTCTATTTCACATTCTTTCAGCATGTTGTGATTCGCAACATGCTGCACCGCTTAATGAGGATTTGGAGGCAGAGCACTAAAATGATAACTTTTGGGTGCTTATCTGAACTTAACTTTGAACCTTCTGAAGTTCACCCATAATTATAGTCTTCTAGTTTGAATCATGTTGCCAGCAGTATTTCAGCAGTGAGGCTGAAAATACTCTAGGTTGAAGCTTTTCAGGTCTGCATTGTAAGTTACAATTCTAGCTGATTATTTTTATGCTCTGTTTAGCAAATGCTCATCAAGAGATGCAGCATATTATAGATTAAACATGACGAAGTAACATAAAATCCTAATTAACATTTAAAATTCTATGAACAAAAAATGAAACTCCCAAATTATCATAGTTTAGTATGCATTTTGAATGTATATCCCATCTTATTTTTTCAATATTTTGGACCAAACTGCTGACTTTTGTTGGAGGCTTTCATAAGTGTTGAAAACATAAAGAACAGCACAGCAATTTGATCTTTGCTCATACTACTGAGTTTTCATTGTGCTGTATTGTTACTATTTATGATGATTATGATATAGGATGCTTAGATGTTACATAATTTGAAATGCCTATATGTAACTCTGCATGACACAACAGAAGGAGGCTCCATCATTGGTAACACTTAGGCAAAAGGAAGATAATTTGATTTGCTGTTTTTTTTCTCTAGATTGGTTCAGCTTTGTTTAATTTACTGCAAATACAAGCACCCGAATTCCAAACTGAAGTCATGGAGCCCTAAGATACACCGTTACAGGTTGTCATCTATCTTGTCTTGATCTTGTGAAAGGCCTCAGCTTCAGTTTATGTTTCCTGGATTTTTAAAACACTTTCCATTCTTTGCTTTACAAATCAGTCATTATTAAATCCACATATTTGGAGACTGACTTTGAGGTCGTTGATTAATTTTCAGATTATGCTTCTTTCTCTCAGTTTCGGTAAATCATTCACAGAAATTTAATGTTGGCAAACGATACGTTAGCTTCATCCTGTGTCCACCAATGAAGAAAAGGCTACCCTAAAGGGTCACCTTATGTTGGTGGAGGGGGGAGGGGGGTGTGTGTGTGCATGCATGTGTGTGTGTTAGTGTGTGAAAAAACGCAGTATACTTTCTACAAGTGATTTTGGGCCTGACCTGACCTGGGCAGTTCCCCATGTGTTTTTAAGGCTGGCTGATTAAAAACAGTTGCTTAGAGATGTTACAGATAGGTTGGTGGTAGTAAGGAAGTAGCTCAAATTAATAGTTATGAACCTAAGCTAGTACCAGGTATAGGGCTGAGCTGTAGAACAGAAAGCTTTGTGCACCTTAGTCAGAACTTCGCTCTTTACTTTCCAAAATCAGCTGAAAATATAGAAGACATAGTCATAGTATTACCTGGTATAATTCCATTTTCATTTGATGAAATAACAGCACAGATGGATTTTCCACTTCTTTTTAGATACCTTATTTGTGTTCAGATGACCATTAATGTTATTTTTCATTTCATGTACAGGGTGATGGAGAACGTACTTCAGATTCCACTATTTCTTTTAAATGTAAAACAGCGAGAGAAAATAAACAACTTAAATAAATTTGGCTATATTTAAAAGAAATTTTAAAAATATTTTAATTTCTTGGTTTTAATATAAATTACTTCCACAAATTGATACATTGTGTTATTTTAGTTAATAAATCCTCTGTGTCTCACACAGTTTTCCAAAAGGAAATATTCTGTTGACTTTGGGATATTGTATGTCTGAAACAGAACTCCTTTTTGATCTAAGCAGAGGTTTTTGCTCAAATATTAGTAGTATGATACATCCCATAGTACTTTTACATTACTTTC